AAGTTAATAAAAAATGATTTTTCTAAAGTATTACAATTAAGTGTTTTATTGTTACTTTTGTTTTGTTAAAGCACATGATTCAAAAAAGCAAAATTTGAAATTTCTTTCAAAATTAGTCAAAACAATTAACCCAAAAGTATTACAACTAAATATTTTTGTTAATTTTTTTACATTAAAGAATTTACTTACTACTATTTGAATAGTGTTTTAAAGGAATGTTACTCACTTTCCTTCATTTAGAATAACAATTTACATTTAAAAGTTGCATGCAAAGTTTGATGAAAACAAATCCTCAACTCAACAAACTTCAAATCTAATGGAAGAGAAAAAATAACATTTGATCTGAGCATCCAAGTATTAGTCCATACACAAGAATCATACCTACAAAATTGTTTCATTACATGCTATTCTTGGCTTTTAACATATTTAAAATAAGTACAATTTATTATCTTCTTTGAAAAAACATTGGGATGTAATATATCATATTCCTTTAGAAGACAATAAACATTTGGCATTTGTGCTTAAACAAATTGAGAAAAGTAAATGAAAACATTTTTCTCAACAATACATCTAATCTGAAATGCTAAACTGAGGGACTAATTTGCATATAATAATTTTGATTTTTTTATGTTGAATTATTTTGTTTCTTTCATTAACAATATCTATAGAACATTTTGGTTTAGGACATTGGAATAGAACAAAATGCTACAGTCATTTTAAATGTTTGCTGAAATTAACATTTTAAAATTTTTAATATATTTTAATAAAAACAATATATAGTGAAACCTCTAAGAAACCATCTCCAAAACTTACTTGTTATGAAAACTGGTCATCTCACAGGATGGTCTTGTCAAGGAAGTGACAATTATCTAATGGACACAGAGGACTATGTACAGTACTTATATCCAATAGCTGTACATAGTACTATGTACTAGTATTATATACTATATTAGATGTGGACATTACATTTTCATGTTCATCATGTAATTCTGTATTGTAAATGAAGTTTTACATATATACTTAAAATATCTGATTTAAAGTAATCTGAAATGGACATTGGCTTTCTCTGTTTTTAACTTTTTTGATTAGATAATGCCTTCATATCTCTTCTATTTGGTCAAACCTTTCAGGTTAAATTCCAAATCCCATCCAAATTTGTCATCATCAATTACCACTATCTATCCCTATTAATAAATATAAAAATTAACTTCATTGGCTTTGCTATATTATTTAGTTTAATATGAATAAATAGCATATGCTTTATTCTTATGTTTTAACTTGTTGAGTATATTTACAAAAAATTATGTATATTCTAATGATAAGACTGAGTATAGGAGAAAATAAAGACATTAAAGTTGGAAAAATTAAGATACATTTTTACATCTAATGCAACAGTGCAATATGCCCAATGTTGTATATTGTTCATGTTGTATATGTTTTTACTGCATCATACCATCCAGATGATGAAATGGTCACTTCAAAGACTATTTTTGAGCAGAGCTCTCCATAAGTCATAGTGTTTTGTCTGTGATTGAAGTTTAAAGCAACCACACAACCACTAAATATGATTTTTTTTTTTGCAAATACTGTGTGTACAACTTGGTAATGCCAATATTGTAACAAATCTGGAATTTCAAAATCTAATCTAAGGTCTGAGATATTTGAGGTCAAAGTTTGCCATTGGTTGAATGATTGCTGATTGTAAACTGGTCACATGCTACATGTCAATCAAGTTTCCAATTGCTGTCAATTTACATCGATCTCTACGACAATTTTTATTTTGATCTTTATTAAGGCGTTTAACATGCACAGTCTGCAGTCACACTTGTTTTACTGGTTGCTGGAGTTGGTAGGCTGCTGACCACACACATGGGTGTTTTAAACATTTTTTGATGTTTTTGTTGGTAAGGGTGTTAGGTATGCACATCCTCCTCAGAACCTGCATGTTTTAAACTGCTTTAGACAGAATGTTAGAAGCATGTCACCACAGTTGTGTTTTCATATTAAGCCAAAACAGAAAAACCTATGCCATGTAGCTCAGTTGTTTTTCTAGTAAATACCTAGTATATTTTACACAAAGGGATTATGAATTCAGATGTTTAATAGTAAACTAAAAGGATTGTTGGCTTAAAGAGTTTTTATCTGATGGTGCACAGAGGTTCACTTTATTATACAAATAGATAATAACAATTAAACTAAATATTAATTTTTAACTTTCCCAATGTTATGAAACATAAGTATAAATTTCATAAACATTTATTGGAATATGATATCTAGTTTGTCTATCTTGATAACTTTGGATCTAAGAGAGAGTTTTTGGAACGTTTCATTTGGGAATGTTTCAAAAGTACTGTTTGATTTTGTTTTTACTGATGTTATTTAATGCAAGGCTGTGATAAAACAATCCATACATTGTTTTAAGTTATTTAATATCTAATGTACAATGCTAAAACATCAAGTCACTAAAAATCATAAGTTATAATTTTTATAACTATTTATATAATTTTTAGTGTCTGGATACCCTAGCTTTAGTGCATTTATAAATCACACATTAGTAATGTTAAAAACATTACTATAGAATATAAATTAAATTCCAAAAAGTAAAACTTATAATAGGACAAACATGATTTATTAATTGATTCATTGTATTATTACATAATTGTTTTTCAATTATTTTTGTGATTCTGCAATTTTATAAAGAACTTTTTTTTTAACATTTATTTCCATAAAATAGGAAACTAAAACAACTTTAATGTATCCTGCTTCTAAATTTCTATTGAAAAATTCATAAATTCTGTGGTTCTTGATGTTTCTTGTAGTCTTAATTCTTCTAACATTATCATTTTCATGATGGTATATAGATAATGATGCCTGTTTTAAAAAAGTTTATTGAGCAAGTGATCTGCTTTTTTTATAGACATTTCTTTTTTTTATTTGCTTTGAAAATCTTTACTATATTCAATCTGAAAAGTCTATATAATTTTGTAACATCTTGTAAGAATATGAGAAACATCAATAACCATAGAATTTATAAATTTTTTGTATTGATGATTTGAGGCAGATTTAATAAATAAGGTTAGTTGCAGTGCTAAAGAAACATAAATCAGCATACAAGATTGTGGTTAATAATAATGAAAGAGTATACTGTAATACTATACCAATNTCTTTACTATATTCAATCTGAAAAGTCTATATAATTTTGTAACATCTTGTAAGAATATGAGAAACATCAATAACCATAGAATTTATAAATTTTTTAATAAAAATTTAGAAGTAGGATATATTAGTTGTTCTAGTTTCCTATTTTATGGAAATGAATGTTAAAAAAATTTAAAAAGAAGAATTCTTTATAAAATTCCAAGACATTTTGTCTAAATTACTAATGATTATTTTTACAATTTTCCATAAAATAGTCAGTAAAACTATAAAATTTCTGAAGATGACTTAAATTTGATGTAACTCATGCATATGTACAGTACATTGATATATTGTGTTTTAATAAAGATGTTTGTATATTAAAATTGTTTCTTGGTTTAAAAATTTTATTTAAATTACAAATATAGTGCATGCTTGCTAATCTGAACTAGTTATTATATGCAGTTGACTGGTTGTTTAGATTTGTGGAATATATATATATATATATATATATATATATATATAGAGGAAAGGAAGTCAAAAAGGACTACAAATAAATACAGGGGACAAAAGTAGGTATATACTGTAGTTGTGAATCTGAGAAATACAGATGTTTGGTGTTCATTATTATTATTATTTTATTTTGTATTCCTGATTTAATTTATGCATAAAAATTTTTTTTTGTAATTACAACTGCATACCAACTTTTGCATTCCCCTATACTTTTAAACATGTTTATACTGTGTTTGGAACATATATTAAAGTATGTAGTACATATTTACAAATTCAGTGTTTTAAAAAATCTGTCCTTTCTTTATTTTTTTATTTTTAGCTAGAACATTTAACAAAAACAAACAAAATTGGCTTGGATTAGAGTTTCTGACCCCAAACTTCCAGAAAATTTCAAAACTTTTCAGAAAAGTCTTGGGATAAACTGTTTGTAAATTTAATTTAATAGTGGCAAAATTTCAAACTGAAAGCTGTTGAATTTATCATAATTTTTAATTTCAGTAAAATGCATGTTGCATCATAGACAATGATTTAAAATTTTAAGATGAGATATGTCTAGGTAGCAAGCAGTTAAGTAAGCAAACCAATGATATAGTCCATTTCATATGAAATTAAATACAAAATATCATTAATTATATCATTGGTTTGCTTGCTTAACTGCTTTCCACCTAGCTTGTCCAATGAGTCATTTTGACTTTAAGCTAAATTTTTTCTGATTGCTTCAATCACACGATAAAGTTTGACAATATATTTATGATTGCACTATTACTGATTTCTTTCAGTAAGGAATACTTTTTGTATGTCATTTGATGTTTCAAAAAGCTAGAGGTGTTTTGGTGTTTAATTGAAAAGTTAAATAAAAAATAAAATTAAAATAAAATTTATGCAAATAATATAAATTTAATAAATTTTTCTAAGTTACAATTATCCCTCCTCAGTTTTATTAACTAAAATTGAAATATTTTCTTTTAAGCACATCCTATTATATCAATTAGTTTATCGTATTATTATGGGATTTTAATATCTGGAATCAATCTTCCATATTTCCAGGCAGTTTTTTTTACATGGATTTTATTGCAGTGAAATGTATTAAAATATAATAAATACATTTTTTAAAATATAATTTTTATGATCAAAATTGTATAGTCCCAGGAATTTCCGGAAAGAACATATCTTGTCTCACGAATAGAAAAATAGCAGACTCGGAATTCTAATTTGGATTAGCATTACTTCAGATTAGCAAGAGTGCATCAGAGTGTGTTCAGTTTTTTGTTGTTAAATATTATTACATTAAATAATAAATAAATATTTATTAGTATTAATATATTATTAATTATTTATTGCACAATTTTTAGATTCAAATTTAATGAAGATTAATTAAAAAATGGGAAAGATAACTGCTGATAAATCTCAAATAAATTCATCTTTAGAATTACAAGTAATGGCCAAAAGTAAGAAAACTAATCATACTATGAATTTATTATTATAATTATAATCAACTCCCAGAAATTCATGTTTTTATGCTATTTTAGACAATCTTGTATATTGCATATTGACAACTTAATATAGTTTTGAATTTTTATCTGACAAAATTTGAGAGTTGAAAAAATAATAAGATTGATTTAACAAAATTTCTATTTGTAATGATTAATGGATTATTTGATATCCTGATTTCTTAAATTAGATTTTTAAATATTAAAAATATATACTGAAGAAAAATAAATTGTTCTTTTTAAATCCATCACTTGCATTCATCAGGAACAAAAAAGAGTTTTTAACCATAGAGATGATATTTCTTTTTATTTGAGGCTGCACTTCTGTGAAAATATGCCAAAACAATTTTTAAAAATCCTCTGATAATGATCCATAAAAAAAAAAATATGATGATTTATAGTTACATTAAAATTGACCGACAATTTATGCTTCTTCACAATGTATATATTTTATATATTAAATATATGCATTGTGAAGAAGCATAAATTGTCATCTTCATTCATATTCACCAGGAACAAACAGTTTTCAATCACAAAAAAAGATTTGTTTCTTCAATGTATAGTTTTAATTTGTAAAATACCTTTAGCCAATTGTAATCAAACTAAGTTTTTAAAATTGATAAAATTACAGCTTATCAGTTTCAGATGAGATGTCAGAGATCTTGAAAATGTTAATCAGAATTTAAAAAATCAAATTTCTTAAATGTGGTAAACTGTAAATTTTTGACAGCTGTAAATGTAACTTGATAATTCACTAAGAAAGTCAATAGCGAAAATCATTTTAGAATAAATAATGTAGGGAGTTAAATATTTAGAATTCCTGTTATTAAATTGGATTTTTAGAGTTGACTATAATATAATTTGAACATATTTTAAAATAGTACAGTGGTACGTAGTCTTAATTCTTCTAACATTATCATTTTCATGATGGTATATAGATAATGATGCCTGTTTTAAAAAAGTTTATTGAGCAAGTGATCTGCTTTTTTTATAGACATTTCTTTTTTTTATTTGCTTTGAAAATCTTTACTATATTCAATCTGAAAAGTCTATATAATTTTGTAACATCTTGTAAGAATATGAGAAACATCAATAACCATAGAATTTATAAATTTTTTAATAAAAATTTAGAAGTAGGATATATTAGTTGTTCTAGTTTCCTATTTTATGGAAATGAATGTTAAAAAAATTTAAAAAGAAGAATTCTTTATAAAATTCCAAGACATTTTGTCTAAATTACTAATGATTATTTTTACAATTTTCCATAAAATAGTCAGTAAAACTATAAAATTTCTGAAGATGACTTAAATTTGATGTAACTCATGCATATGTACAGTACATTGATATATTGTGTTTTAATAAAGATGTTTGTATATTAAAATTGTTTCTTGGTTTAAAAATTTTATTTAAATTACAAATATAGTGCATGCTTGCTAATCTGAACTAGTTATTATATGCAGTTGACTGGTTGTTTAGATTTGTGGAATATATATATATATATATATATATAGAGGAAAGGAAGTCAAAAAGGACTACAAATAAATACAGGGGACAAAAGTAGGTATATACTGTAGTTGTGAATCTGAGAAATACAGATGTTTGGTGTTCATTATTATTATTATTTTATTTTGTATTCCTGATTTAATTTATGCATAAAAATTTTTTTTTGTAATTACAACTGCATACCAACTTTTGCATTCCCCTATACTTTTAAACATGTTTATACTGTGTTTGGAACATATATTAAAGTATGTAGTACATATTTACAAATTCAGTGTTTTAAAAAATCTGTCCTTTCTTTATTTTTTTATTTTTAGCTAGAACATTTAACAAAAACAAACAAAATTGGCTTGGATTAGAGTTNGTATAGTCTATATTTTTTATTTTTTGGAGGTCTCCAGAACGAATTAATCAAATTCCCATAGAAACCTATGGTAAATCGATAATCGGTTAACGAACAATTCGGATAACGAACAAAGTCTTGGAACGGATTATGTTCGTTAACCGATCACCCACTGTAAATATAAAATTTTCCATATATTTTAAATCTTTTATTATTATTATTTTATAATAATTTCTAAAGAACATACTAGCATGTGAAAATTTATTTTTAATATTACAAGGCAGATTTAATAAATAAGGTTAGTTGCAGTGCTAAAGAAACATAAATCAGCATACAAGATTGTGGTTAATAATAATGAAAGAGTATACTGTAATACTATACCAATAGTTATTTCTGCTTGGTGGTACAGTATTTTCATTCACTGTGCAAGTTACAAAATGGCATCATCCATATCAAACTGCACCAGAATCAAAAATCAAATAAGGTATTGAGATCCAGTTACACTTACAAGTTAGTAAGATCCATTGCAAGAATGAATACACAATATGAAGTCTTGCATGTCACTACAAAAAGCTTGCAAGTGGGTTCAAAAATTTAAGAAAGGCCAAACAAACATTGAGCCACAGTCTTTTGAAATCAAGCTTTTTGTAGAAACATGCTTGACTTTCCAATTGTGCATACACTCTGTGATGAATCTTTCTAGGTCTAATGCCTTTAGCTGTCGAAAAGCAAATAACAGTTTGCTGTTTGATATTGGCAATGCCATTTTGTAAACCACATGGTGTACACATATGTTACTTGGCAGGGCTATATTACTATGTATTGTTTCAATATTATTAGTCTCTCTAACTTTAAATACTACTACTGTAATTGGAGAAACAATAAATTTACTAAAATAAAATAACTTACTGGAATATAAATACATAAAATAATCAAAACACCTTAGTAATTACAGCAACGAAGTATTTAATAAAATAAAAACGTTTTCGACTATATTTAATAGTCTTCTTCAGTTAAGCCTCTTTAAAACGAAAACGAACGTAAAATAGAATGCAAGCAATACAACAGTTTAAAAATTAAAATTAATTACGTAAAACGTAAATAAAACGTTAATAATTTTTTACGTTTTTTTAACGTTTTATTTACGTTTTACGTAATTAATTTTAATTTTTAAACTGTTGTATTGCTTGCATTCTATTTTACGTTCGTTTTTGTTTTAAAGAGGCTTAACTGAAGAAGACTATTAAATATAGTCGAAAACGTTTTTATTTTATTAAATACTTCGTTGCTGTAATTACTAAGGTGTTTTGATTATTTTAATAAATTTACGTAATATGCCCAAGCTCCAGCAGCAAAATAAAATATTTACAAGGTTTTCAATGGTCTTAAGCCCTCCATCTTCAAGTTCTACAGTCTTTTGATTGTAGAACAATACTTGTAAAGAATGTTTTAATTTTGAAAAGTAAAATGCCACATGCATTGGAATCTTTAAAATTCAGAACTTATAAGTCCTGATTAGTTGTTTTGTGCTAGTGATATGTCTGGTCTTGTAGTATAATTTGGAGAGAAGACATCCACACACACTTGGACTAAGCAAAACTTATATGTATATCAAATAACAAATTGCACATATGGCACTTGGAAAAAATGAAAATGAAACAAGGGAAGAATCAGCCATCAACTATAAACATAGCACCTCCCTGACCTAGGCTTGGAGGGCCTTATTTGAGATTTAAAAAATTACATGTATGACCGGATACATCAATAGCACAAACTGATCAATCAGGACTTATAAGTGCTGATTTTAAAGATTCCAATGAAAGTGACATTCTACGTTTCAAAATAAAAACATTCTTTGCAAGCATTGCTCTACAATCTAAAGACTATAGAAACTGAAGATGGGAGCTTAAGACACCAAAAATGTTTGACATTGTAAATATTTTACTTTGCTGCTGGAGTTTGGGTGTATTATGTAAATTTATTATCAGTTTCAATCTTGTATGCTATGTAATTTTTCTTTAACAGTACTATACTAACCTTTCTTGTTGAATATGCTTCATATATGCTCAAGCTGGCTAATTGTTATATCTCATACTGTGTAAATATTGAATGGTAGACTCTGAATTGGTTCACACCTGCAAAACATTTTAGCTTTAAACAGAGAGCTAATTCACATGCTCTTGTATGATAGGCCTAGATATTATGAGGCTGCATTAAATTTATTATTTACAAGATAACTATACATTATTATATCAATGAAAAACTTCTCAGTATTTAATATATATGTGTTAGATCAGTGTTTCTCAACCTCTAACGAATCGTCGCCCCCTTCAACGTAGTATTGCCCCCTTCAATAAAACCGTTACGTAGTATCGCCCTCTTCACTACAAAATTCCGATGCCGAGAAACAAGGCTAATGCCAAATTCGTACTGCATTGAATAGACTAGTAACTAGTGTAATGTTATTTGTTTAATTATTGTACGATATAATGAATAAAATATCTAATTGTTCTTAATATAAAGTTTTACTATATCGCCCAAAAAATTGTTTTACGCCCCCCCAATATAAATTGTTACTAATTGCCCACTCAACATGGAAAAACGCCCACATGGGGCGATATCGCCCCTGTTGAGAAACACTGTGTTAGATATATAAAAGAATTACTTTTTTGGCTATATTTATAAAAGTTAAATATTTTATATAGTGTGTCCCAAAAAGACCATGCTAGACTTTTATTTCTGATCCTAATAGATACAGTACTGTACTTTGAAACTTTTGGCATGTTAATAGATCTAAAAATTGCATTTTTTTGCATACTATTTTGATAATTTAACATTTGAACTTAAAAATAGTGGTACTTTAAAATTTCAAGTAGTAACATATATCTTACAGCATGTTATTTCAAGGAGTTCTTTTACACTGAATTTAACAGTGCAGCCATATTTTCAAATTGAATGTGGCATTCAGAAGTTACACCCGTAAACCTCAGCAGGCTTTCAGGTATAACCTAAACCTTTGATTTGGTTCTATTAAAAGTAAAAATGATACAGTACTGAATTCTGCTATTATTATCTAATATCAATAATCTTCCAACTGATCTAATCCAATAGGGATACTTTATTCTATCCATATTCTACAGGTATGGGTAATAAATAAAAGCCCAAAATTTATTGGCTTAGTGAATATTCAATTTGTTTGCTAACTCATCAAAATTCCAATATAAAAATTAAAAGTTTACAAATTGATTTATGGGCTCCTTTTAGAATCAAACTCCATGCAACTGTATCTAATTTCAAAATAACTATTTAAAACAATGGAGTCAGATTAATTATCAAATTCTTACTTAATTGTATTGTAGAAAAATATACGAGATATCAATTTTTCTTTCCTTTCTGACTTACGTGATGTAAGGAATTTTAATACAACAGACTTGTTTAATTTAAGAATAATGACACAGTTTCAGATTATTGAATAATAAACATCACAAAGCCCAATAAGTGTATAGAAACATCCAACAATTGCCTATATGATTGAGATACAATTATTTAATAAATTATTAAAATTATAATTATTAATTTAGTTAAGAAATAGTGCCTAATGTCTACCTGTAGTAGCAAATTACTTTGTGTTAATTATTTAAAATTAGTGGAATTGTAGCCTGATCATTTAGGCAATCATTGGATGTTTGTTGTGTAATTTTTTTTTCTTTTTCTAATTTTATATACAATTAGGGAATAGAATTAAGGGAATATTTTTCTGTTGGGTCGCTAATAATAATTGTTAGAGATGCTGATGTTCATTCTGTTAGTAGTACATTTTTTAATAGGAAAATCAGAATTACCTATGATAATTTTTCATCAGTTTTCTAGAAAGGGTATTATATGTTGCACTGCAAAATTGAAAAATATTGTTACATATAAGTAAACTTGCAGTATCAATTTTTTGTTATTCTTTAAGTGCTCTATCTCTATCCACTTATATTACATGTAAACAATGCTTACACCTGATATCAGCATGTGTAATATGTAAGAGTACAAAAATGTGTAAGAGTACAAAAAGCCATGTCTTACACCATGGTAGTAGATTTTAAAATACTAATGGTAAACATCTTTATATTAATTACTTAGTTGTACTTCTATCTGATTATGAGAACCACATAGATATGGTATAAAATCCTTTCCAATCTGTGGAAGCTATAACTTATATTTTACATAATTTAATAAAATATCTTTTTTTCTAACAGTCAGTAACTAACTGAATATTTTATAAAATAATTATCATCACATACATAAATACATAATTGAATTTAGCATTACCAGATCTTCCATTGCCAAAATTTCTATGCTTTCTCTTTCAACAAGAACTTTTATTGTATTGACTCCGCAGACTACTTCATAAAGTCATGATTGATAGAGTATAGAAAAGATGTAATTAGTAAGAAAGGTTTTACAAAGTTGGCATTTTTGTACTTGCTAATAATTTCCTGTATGTTTAAAGAGTATTTGGAATTAGAGTTTTATAAAGAGGAGAAAATCCTTTAAAGCTGCTTTCTCTGTTTCCCTTTGAAACAATTACCAAAATTAACTTGGCTTCAATTAACAAATCAACATTTAACTGTACATAACATCTTGTTTATATTCTTTAAAAATAACTGTCAGAATTCATAATTTTGCTTAAAAAATATTTTTGTTTACTGAAATAATTTTTATATGTTTAAATTAATGTACGTATATAACTTATATAAATTATACAAATACAGTTACAGTTATACAAATGCAGTTACACTACTCAGATGGAGATCCAGGTAGTGTAACTAGCATTGCACAGCAAATGGGAGTTGTAGGTTCGAGTTACATAAATTATTGTATTGAAAAATTTTGTAAATCATAAAATATAGTTTGAATTTAAATTTGAACATTTTTTTTATCTTTCCCTTTTGTGCTCAAACTTTTGAATTGAAGAAACATGCTTAATTGGTCAAAAGTATTTTTTTTTTTCTATGAATATATTTTAAAATTGATCAAAATATTCACTGATTTAATATTGCAGTTGAATTGCTTTCATGGATGGAATGATTACTTAATTTTGTAATGTAACTGTAATAGAAATCTTAGGTAGTTTAAGTAAAACTGTTTTCAGGTCTTACTAAAATTTTTATATATTAAATGTCAAGACAGTTTTCTTAAATTCATATATATGAAACAAAAATGTTTTTAATTTGAACTAATAGATAATCATATACATACATAATTTAGATCACATACTAGCATTTTCTTACTTAATAAATTAAATAAATGCAAAATATTATTGGTAAGTAGATATAAAAAAATTTAAAATTAATATTGATATAAGTTTGAATATTTAAAACCACTAAATTTTTATACAATAAAAATAACTTTTGTAATTTAATTATTTTTCTAGATGATTATTTTTTAACTTCTGCCTTTTTGAATAAAGAAGTAGAATGGAATTCTGATAGTGAAGATATTACATTAGAAACAGAAAAAATAAATTGGGAAAAAAATTTTTCACATTCTATATCAAATAAATCAAATATGATACATGATAGTACAATGGACTCGGGATTAGGTTCAGCTAAATCCTTATCTCCAAGATCTCCTGAACCTGAATGGAATAGTAATGTTGATTGTGAAATGAGAACTGAGCATTTAATAGAAGATCCTGCATCAGTATTATTTAACATATTAGATATAAAGGAAGATTCTTGGAATAGTGATGAGCCACCACGTAAAATACCAAAAAAAGATGATTCCAATATATTGTCCTTTAACAGTCCATCAACAATAAATAATGTATCTGTTCAAAATAATCAACTAAATTCTTTGAAAAAAACTACTACTGAACCAACTACAAGTAATTTACAGAAATCTTTATGTAATGAAACTAAAAGTTTGAAGAATGAACATACACTATCAAAAGAAAATGATGATAAAAATAGCAAACCAACATTGAAAGTTTCAAATTTTACCGAAGAAGCTACATTTGGTGAACACGATATACAAAATAACAGTGAAACACCTGACTTAGCTCACTTGCAAAAAACTTTGAGAGCTTTAATAAGGTATTTAATTTTCCAATATAAACATTTAATATTCTAAAATTAATCATTTAATTACTTTAAATTCAATTATGAATTCTGTTCAGCTTTCATACTTATGTTATGTATAAAAATGATCTGTTTTGTTGGATCATAACTTATGCAGAATTATAAACAAGCACTTTAGAAGAGTAGATAGTTTATAAAAAAAAATTTTAATTTATCTAATTTTGATTTAAGATTTAAATCATTAATTTCTATTGTAGTAGAATATGTAATATTTGAAGATAGTTCCACAGTTTATGATAATTTGAATGAAGTTATAGTAAACTTTATACATGGAATTAAATTTCAAATATTTAAATAATTTTTTTCCTTTTGAGATCACAAAAGTAAGGTTATATCTTTCTTTGGTATTAGGTTGGATTGCTAATTTCTAAATTTATAATAATTAATGCATATTTAATGTAATTAAATATACATAAATTATATGTATATGTTACCGGCCATACCCAATTTCAGGCCAAACTAGTTTATCTCACACGTCAGGATATATTAATTTAGCCTAGGACAATCTAGTTTGGCTTAGGCTGAACTGATTTAGAATTATTATTTAAGTCAGGCCTGACCAACCCAAATTGTTTCATAGGCCACTTGGATCACGTGTAACATTACAATGGGCCACAATTTAGGTAAACATGCTTTTAAAAAAGTAAAACAAATACAAAATGAATAAGATTTTATTGTTATACCAAGAGTTCATACTTGCACTTGCGCATTATAACAATGACACATGCAAATTTTCATTTATTTAATTGTTTTGGTATGCACAAAACAGAAAACGAGAGTTTTAATAGATATATAATATCGCTTAGTGGGCCACACAATTTAATGTGATGGGCTGCATGCGGTGGGTTGGCCAGGCCTGATTTAAGTATATTAATGGTTAAAATAAAATTAAAAGGCAATCATGAACAATATTTATTCAAACATAGTCTACTTAATTATAAAAAACGGTATTGATTAGAAGTAACACAACACTTGTACAAAACTATAAAATAAAAATAAGCTAATCAGTACTTATCAGTTTGTGTTTTTTTATTAAACCATGCACTTTTAAAGGTAATTAACAATCAAAAATATTTTCAAAAATTCAAACGAAATAATAAAAATAACTTTTAAAGTCAAACTAAAGTTAAAAATGAACTTGTTTGTGTTTCTTAGTGTAACATATAAAATATTTAATCTTTTATTTATTTTTACAGGGTGGGTTAAAGTGTACCTAGGTAACCCCAATGGCGGCACTTCGGACTGTTCATACTCCCGGCGGACTCCTCCTGGAGGGGAGCCGCTGGCAGGCCACCCATTGTTTAACATCACTAGGTAGTTCTTGAACAAAAAAAAAAGGAAACGTTTACTAAAAATGTAGTTAACCTAACCAAAGCACCGCCAATGGGGTTACCTAGGTACTGTACACTTTAACCACTGGGTATACTGTGGTGGCATTTCGAATTACACAAAATCATTTTTTTTTTTTTCACTGGCACCTATTTGTAGTACATAAATCAGTTTGGTCTAATGTATTTAGGCCAAACTAGATTATCCTAGGCTAAACTAGTATATCCTGACATGTGTAGGATAAACTAGTTTGGCCTGAAATCAGGTTTGGCTGGTAACATATATATGATTTGTATATTTAATGTAATTAAATATACATATTTTACAAACATATATTTTAGTAAAAAGATGTTAAATACATAGTTTTCACTATTATTGGTAATTTTTGTAATCATAATATGAGAAACTACAACATAAATTAATTTTTAACATTTTTTTCAGTAACTATTTGTTTAATAGAAATCAAAGTAAAAGTATCAGCTTAATAGAAATAATTAAATCATTTTTAATTTAATAAATTATAACATTTTTTGTGTGATGATAAAATTGTGTAATGAAAGTGATTAGATGATTTATTGTCTAATCACTTTCATTACATGATTTATTAAAGAAACAACTAAACTGATAAAAGTATATATTAAACTAAATGCATGATATCCTATTGTTATGTATTTAATTTCAAATTCTTTAGGAACTATAACATATCCAGACTAAGAGAAATTGATTTAGTGGTAATTATATTGTTGCAGTTACTCACTAGAATATGAAGATTATTTATCACAAAAACTGATTATCAAAGCATTTTTAATGAAAATCAAAAAAAAAAAAATTAACCATATCTTATACATAATTATGAATATTCAGAAACACAGTTTTATTCAGAAGATATGGCTTTGATATACTAGGGCTATTTTATTTGCAGTGGCAATAGTGTTGTAACTTATTAATTTTAAAATAAAACAAATGCATGGTGGTCACAATACTTCAGTACAGTCTCCACTGTTGTAGACTACACACTGTGAAACTTCTGGGAGGCAGTGAACATCATCAGTAGTGTCATTTTTAGCCTATATCTAGAGAGACTGACTGCCCTAAGATGAAAAAGATACTGTCAATGTCTTGGAAGATCTTGTTATAAGACATTTCTTTCATTTTTTGGGAAAAGGTCAAAGTTGCATGGATTTATGTAAGGTAATATGGTGAGCATTCAAGTATCTCTCACTGCCATCTGCTTAGCAATGTCTTCACTTTTGAAGAAGAATGGCTACACCACGTGCAAGATAGTTGGTTGCAATTACAGTAACTCTGGTCTTTTGCAATGACATGTTGGATAATGATGATGATCAAAGAAGTATTAGTAATATTACCATTAACTGTTTGTCTCAGTGGCGCACATGAATAGGATAAGAGGATCCCTTGGAAGCCATATGTAATGATTGTTAACACTTTCACTTTATTCGGTTCTTGCCACAGTTCAACTTCTTGGGGTGCAAGAATGATTGGCATTTCAGCTCCTTTTTATAAGACCTGGCCCATGTTCCATCAGTTTCAATAATCTGATAAAGGAAGGATTCTTCTGAATGTCATTCAGAGCATGAAGCACTCATTTTGCAGCAGTTTTATATATATTCTGTTTCTCTGTCAAGTTGTTGTAAAGATTGGAAGCTGCAATGCCTAGTTTTGCACATGTTTCTTGGTAAATTCATCAGTGATCATTCTCCAATAATGTCAAAACAGCTTCCATATATTCTTCATCTATTGCAAGTGATTGCTACCATGCATAATTTTGATATTCTTCCATCTGTGACAAAAAGCTCTGACCCATCAGGCAACAGTACCATATGGCATGTACTATTTTCTTGCATTTTGTTCTTGTGCAGCTTGAACTTTGATGAAACATCATTGTTATTGGGGAGTAAACATTGCTTATGGTGATAAAATAAATATTTAAATGTTTGTTTTCCTCCTATTTCTTAGACACACAAATTTATTACAACACATGCACAAACCTTTAGGAAAAAATATTTGATGGACTTTTGGTAATTTGCCAGGTTACTGCCAATTTTCAGCAATATTGCCAGTTCAAAAAAAATAGCCCCAGTATAAACTTTTGATAAGAAATACACAAGTTTGACAGATTAATGATCAATATATGATTTAAAAATGCATATTTTGGAATTTAAATTTATTAAGAGAGTAGTAAATTGACAATTTGTATTTTGTGTATAGTTCAATAACCTGTTTGTTTCATTCTTCTTAAATTTTTGAAAAACAGTGTTGTTCAGAAATTTTGATTTTTAATATACAGTAGAGCGTCGTTTATCCGAAGGTCGGTTATCCGAAAGAATTCCAGTTGACAAATTTAAACTTTCGCCAGTGCTGTGGCGCTGCAATCTTTGGCTATGTCTTCGGCTACTCAAATATTTTACGTTTTTGATACTAAATTAACTTCTGAAGTATAATTTTTTATTGTTTTTATATTTTTCAATATATTTATTTTGTTTGTACAAAATAAAAAAATAATTTTTAACGATACAATAGTCTTCGTTAGGCTTAACGTCGACGAAAATTCAACGCAAAGCGACACACAACGGAGAAAAATTTCAACACGGGATAAATTAATATATTTTTTCGTACATAATTGGTTATTCGAAAAATAAGTTATCCGAACAACCCCAGTCCCCAATTGATTCGGATAAACGACGCTCTACTGTAATTATAAATATTAGATTGGATGAAAAAATTTTTTTTCTTCAGTTTACAAAATATGTTTTAAAAAATACAACTGAATAAGATTTTTTTTTAATATAATTCAAATTTATCATCTGTCATGGTCTAATTGTTATGCTATTGTTATATAAATAATTACTATTTATATAATAATGTAAATTATTATAAAATTTTAAAAATAATGAAGCAAATTACAAATATGATTAAATTAATGAATTTATATAATTACTTTTTAATAAATAAATCCATTTAGTTTTAAGAAATCTTATCACTGAAGCAACCAAATAATGCAAATTTTATTATCTCCTTTAAAATGTACAATATGATTTTTTATACATTTTATAAAACTGGTAATTTTTGAGATAGAATAGATTAGTGCCATCAAATTTTAAGATTATATTATTGAAAAAATATTTATGGAAATGACTTTTAAAATTTTGTAGGATAAAATTTTTTGCAATTGAATCATTCCACATTATTTTAACAATAATTTCAGTGTGTGTAAAAGAATTTTCTGAAATTTTGTATGAAACTTCCTTATAATGTGAAATACAAACTCCAAGCTCTTAGATCCGGTAAAAGAATTTTTCCGCGGCAAAGTCTATTACGACATTCATTCTTCTGAACATAAATGAAATAAAAATATACTTAGTTAGTTTTTGGTCAGTTATTAATAAAATAATGATTGCACAGAACTTATTATAAATAACAGGAATTTTACTTTTTTTAACTGTTAGTGTAATTTGTTTAAACTAGGGTTTGCAATATCAGATCAAAATTCAATACTGGTATTTTGATATTTTTTAATAATACAGTAAAACCTTGATTTAATGAACTGTTAATAAGTTGGGTGAGAGGGTATCTGTTAAAGCCAAAAGTTTGTTATATAATAAAGT